TTTGTTTTCAATTTGGATTTTACTTTTTTATATTTCCTGTTTTTATATTTGTTGTTATTCTGTTGTTGTGCGCTACCCAAACTCATGCTTTATGAGATGAGAGGCTATATAAATTCAATAAATAAATTAGTAGATCATGGGAATGAAAGAGACATATATTTTAATCAAAATACATTAGCTTCAGTAAAGCAAAGTCTCTCAATACAGTACATTCTTAGTAGCAAGCTGGTTAAGAATAAGTTGGATGGCACAAGAATTAAGTGGATACATAGCTGATTCAAAAATTATAGTAAATGTATATTAAAAGGACTAACTCCTTCTATCCTCATCAAATTGTAAGTATTTCTTAAATCCAACTTAGTAACAATGAGTGCCTTTGCAGGTGGTTCAATAGATTTGAAATAAGAGACAATCGATAGTAATCCTTAATGGTGACCTGATTGAGAAGTCTATAATCATGAACAATAGGAACTGAACCTTCAGTCTAAGAGATGAATATTACCAATGCAGATGCCAGAGATTTGGAAGAGTGAATAAACCCCTTTTTGAAATTGTCATCAGGATGGCTAACTTGAATACTCGTGGGAATCCAGGACTCGGGTTTCAATTTAATAGTACAATCACGTGTTTGACGGGGAGGCAAATGCATTGCCCCCTCCACAAATATGACAGTAAAGTTTGACTATTTGTCTAGCAAGGTAGAAGAGTCACTGTGCTGGATTGAGTTGGAGGAGAGGAAGAGCAAAGGCTTTGCAATATGTGGCCAGACCATGTCTGGAGTATATAACTTGATTCCCAAGACAACAGGTCCTTGCAAGGAAGCAGTTACATAAAGTGTGATCTTGTATCGTCAACTGCAATGGATTAGTACACCACAACACATCTGCTGTCTGGGGGCATAAATTTAACTTTTTAGACTGGACCGATCTATACAATTAGTGGTTGTTCCTATGTCTACAAGAACAGAAAGTTGAACTTTCTGACCTGAAACTAAACAAAGAATAATAGGAACAATAAAGTGTGCTTGCCTGCTGTTGGCCATCTGAGCTCACCTTAATTGTTTCCCAAGAGTTCCAATTGTCTTTGGGAACTCTTGGGAAAGAGGCCTATGAGGTTTCCTGACACTGTGTCCTTGAAGCAAGTGGAGTATTGCTATTTACCTGCTAGCTACATGACCTGTAGATCTGTAGCTGTGCAGGATTTGAGACCATCACAATAAAAGCATAAGCCCGGTTCCTTTCTTCTTCTTTGTTTCTCTTGATGGAGAGACACAAAGAGATCTTTCAATTAATCCAATTTTCGTGGATTACACTGGATCCCCAAGAGGTCATTGAGAGAGGATAGAAGGGACAATGTAAAATCTTGCCAATTCTCCCCTGCATCAACTCTTCCAGTCAGCCATCAGTTATAACAGCTCTTCCAAAATTATCTGGGGTGCCCTGATTCATCAGTTCATCTCTCAGCAAGCCCTTCTATCAATTGGTCAATTAGAGCCAAATCATTCTGTTCCACATATTTGGAAATAATTTAAAAACTGTTATATTCACCTGTACTCCACACTGACCTTGCCTAATATTGCAGATTTTATGGTTCGTGGTCACTCGTTTCATGCCATGTTGAAAGAAATGTCTAAATGTTTGCATGACATTTTGATAATTGTCCAGCCTGTGGGTGATTGCCCTCAATAACAGGTGTGGTCCATTTGGCTACCTCTTCTTTCAGCACGCGGAGGACAAAAGTTACTTTAGCGTGATTAGTGTAATCTGGGAGAAATTCTGTTGGCTAACACCATAAACAGTTCATACTGAGTCATGAAAGTCAGGAATTGGTCCTGGTCTCCTCTGAATTTCTCTGATAAACTCCTATGACAACTCAGAAATGCTGGCTGTGTGGCTGGCTGCTATGCTGCTGTTGACTGAGGTTAATTCTCTTCCAACTGTTGTTAATTCTCTTCCAACTGGCGTTTTGCAAGTTACTTATCTGTTATAGGTGTTGCAACCAGGGCTTTTTTTTTTTCCTCATAGAACGCCCAGAACGGAGTTCCGGCACCTTTTTTGGATGGAACCTTGTAGAGTAGGCAAGGCGGGTTGTATGACGTGTGTGAGTTCTGGCACTTTTTTTTTTTTTTAAGAAAAAAAGCACTGGTTGCAACTACACTGCAGTGAGGTGCTCAGTGGATAGTGGGGTGCCCTGAGAATTGGGAGCCATTTCTACAGAGAAAGATGAGATCTTATGCCTCTTATTTAAGATGAATGCAAGATTAAAGTTAGCTCCATTAGTTAGACTAGCCCAGAAAATCAACTCCATAGGAAGATTAGAACTACCTTCATTGAGACTGAGTATAACAACAGAATTTTGCAAGTCTAATTATGCTATGGCTCTTCTCATTTCTTATTCCACAGAGAATCAGGGTGGTGTCTGTCGGAGGGGCTTCCAACTATTAAATTCTCAAAGATTAAAAACATTTCAGTCTCTTTTGGGTAAGCAACAGTTCTTGGATATTTACATCAAAGTCATCTTCCTTACTTTCTATAGTCTGTCCCTTCCTGAAGAAACTATCACTAGTGCTGGATAGTTTTCACCCAAATTGAAAAAGAGAACTTTCTTTTCTCTTTTTTTAGGGAAAGTTGAGAGAGAAGATGTTTTCAATCAGCTTAGGATATAGTACTAAGATGGCGATCCCAAAGGTGTTTTTTCAAGAGGCAACTGATTTTCTTTATGTTCAGTTCTGAACTGAAGAAGCTTCTCGAATGAAAAGCAAAACCTCTTCGAGGAAAAACAAAGACAGTCCACTTGCCTCTTGAAAAAGCACCTTGGGACAACCATGACCTGGATGACTGAGAATCTTCACAGATTCTAAGACGGCACTGATCACACATGTAGATGATCTAAAGTGGAACTGGGATGAAAGGCTTCCACTATAGCTTTCTTTGATATTTTGGCAGTCTTCAATATCATTGGTCATATCTTTCAGGATCAGCTTAGGTGTTGAGAGGGTGGGGACTAGTGTTGCAGTGCTTCTTCTCCTTCATCCAAGGTCAGTTCCTGTTGATGTTCAGAGGGAAAAGATCTAGACTTAAGCTTCTGCTCTACAGCATGCCTCATTCTCTTCCATTCCTACTCAATAAGTAGGGAAATAATCTATTGGCATGGGCTAAATATATATAGATAATTCAAAGTTATATATCTCAACCCAGATAACGATGTTAAGGCTCTTTTCCAGTATCTGGAGGTTCTGGATGGGGAAGAAACCAAATGGCTGTGTATTTAGGAACATCTCTCTCCTCCCCGACTATATTCCTGGTCTGGGAATCATTCATTGTTAGTTCTGGATTGGGTGTCACTCTCTCAGTTGAACTGGTACACAATTTGGGAATCCACTTGGACCCTTAAACAGCAGATGGCAAATGCAGCCAAGAGGGGCTTTGCACAAATCCATTTTGTGTGCTTATTGCTCTTTCCTGGATTAGGAGGTTCTGTTCCTGTCATTCGTGCCTTGGTCATTTCCCATGTGGACTACTGCAATACACTCTACATGGGGCTGCAGCTGAAGACTACCGAGAAGTTACAATTGCTTGTCACCCCATAAAGCACTATGTGGCAGAGAGCTGGGTTATTTGTAGAGCTGAATAACCAATTATCTGTTTTTTTTTTCAATCAGATCCACCAAGGATGGGAATGCTTTCTTTCTTTTATTTGTATCCTGCTTTTATGATTTTTACAAATAACTCAAGGAGGTGAACATATCCACCACCTACCTCCTCCTGTTTTCCCCACAGCAACAATCCTGTGAAGTGGTTGGGGCTGAGAGAGAATGACTGGCCTCAAGTCACCCAGCTGGGTTTCATGGCTAAAATCGGACTTGAACTCACATCATCTCCTGCTTTCTAGCCTGACGCCTTAACCCCCTAGACCAGGGGTGGGGAACCTTGGCTCTTTTATGACTTGTGGACCTCAACTCCCAGAATTCATCAGCCAGCCATGCTGGCTCAGGAATTCTGGGAGTTGAAGTCCACAAGTCATAAAAGAGCCAAGGTTCCCCACCCCAGCCCTAGATCAAACTGGGCTCTCTTTGGGGATGCTCTATCAAACAATGATGGGACCCAGATGTGCCTTCTCTGTTGCAAGACTGGTCCTATGGAGGAGCAGATGTCCTGAAATGCAGATGGTTTGATCCTTCTGGTCTTTTCCAAGGCTCTTTTCCCCTGGGCATTGGAGTGGGCGGTGGAATTGATGAGTTTATTCTGAAAAAGGGGAGCAGTATGATTGTGGATTGCCTTGTTATTTTTTAATTATTTTTTGGGGGGTGGGGGTTGTTTGCTGACTTCTTTTTAATTCAACGTTAGAAGCCCAGAGTCACAACTGCAAGTGAAGGACACACATACACATTTGATGAGATGAAATGAATTCCCAACTTCAATTAACTGCTAAGAAATATATTACTAGGTGATAAGCCACTTTTTAATAAAATGAACTTATCACTTAAATCTTATTTGGCAAATAGCTCCTAAACCTGGCACCCAATGAAGCAAAATTATAAAATGTAAAGATGGGGGGAAAAAACAACAACCTCATATCACCACACATGTCTAATTATAAAAGCATCTGAGTTTAATAGCTCAATATACATTTTTAATTATAAAGTTGACACCAAAATTTGAATTCATTCTCACCTGGCAATAAAATATTTGAAGCTTGTAACCGAAAGACATAGCTAGAAAGAAAAGGAAGAACAAATGAGAGAGAGAGAGGGGGGGGGGCAACTTTTAAAAGAACGCACTTTGCAAAAAACAGGTTAGCGGATCAGAAAAATGAAGAAATAAAAGAATGGCATCCTTATACATTTAGATACAATTTAGCATAACATCCAAGTTCTCGCCATTCAAAACATCACCTTTCCTGCTCCGGAGAATTGAACCCTGCGTGGAACTGGCCGCTCGTTCAACGCTCCGCCACCCACCCCAAATCCTGCCGCCCACGACGCCCGCCCATGCGCTTACCTGTGGGAGCAAACTACGCAAAGTGGGCTTCGCTCCTTGGAAACGCCCAGGAACGGGCTGCGCGCGTATACAAAACAAGTGCCTCTCTTCTCCCTTTCGCCAGACGGGGCAGGCCCTCCACGCCCCTCCCGCCACGAGCGTGCGTGTGCGCTCCCCACGCTCCTTATCTCCAAGCCAGTCGGGGCTGAGGCTGAGGAACTCGGAGGCGGGGGATCGAGGGACTCGCTTCGAAAGCCTCCGAGGCAGCGTCTGAGCCCGGCGTGGAAAGAGAGACTTTCACTCTCCTGCGGCTTTTCTTCCGAGACATTTTGGGGAGGCAGTGAGAAGGCGGCGGCGAGCTCCGCCCACTCAGCGCCCGAGCTGCCGCCGCCTGTTGCTTCGCGAAAGCTTGCAGTTCAAAAGCCCCGGGACTTGCGGGCGAGACGCGCACGTAGGGGAGCCGAGCGGCCGGCCGGGTGGGCTAGAAGGACCGCGGTCCCTGCAAGAAGCGGCGAGGCGGGTGGGTGGGGGTGGGGGGATCGCTCGATCTCCTTTCTTTTTTTTTTTCCCCCTCCCCCGTGTATGGATTTTGCCAACTGAGCCGCTTCCCCGCCGCGATCGCCCGGGCTATCATGTGCGCCTCGAGGTCGGCTTCCCAGGGCAGCTCCCGAGCCGAGTGATCCCTCCGCGGGGCGCTCCGCTCAGCTGCCCCCCTTTTTTAATGGTCAGCTCTTTCGTCCGGCTGCCGCCGCTCAGCCCCTTGGCTTCCTAGATCTGCACCCCCCCCGGCCGCCCACACCCACCCGTGACGGAGATGCACGCGGCGGAGTGGTTCAAGCAGCTAGCAGCTGCCTCCCGGATCGTCTGGATCCTCCTCTGGACTCTGGAGCTGCGGTGCGCTCTGGCGGACTTCACCCTGGAGAACGAGGTGCACTCGAGTTTCATCCACAGGAGGCTCCGGAGCCAGGAGCGCCGGGAGATGCAGCGGGAGATCCTGTCCATCCTGGGCTTGCCTCACCGGCCGAGGCCCCACTTGCACGGCAAGGACAACTCGGCTCCCATGTTCATGCTGGACCTCTACAATGCTATGTCGGTGGAGGAAGAGGGCCCCAGTGAAGGTGGCGAAGGTTTCTCCTACCCTTACAAGCCCATCTTCAGCACTCAAGGGCCTCCCCTGGCCAGTCTGCAGGACAGCAGTTTTCTCACCGAGGCAGACATGGTCATGAGCTTTGTGAACATGGGTGAGTCTCTGGATGATGGTGGAAAGTGGTTGGTAGCGCTTAATAGAAAGTGGTTGAGGTAGAAGGTGGCTCTCGGGAAGCCAACAAGAACCTAATGGAGGTGGGAGCAGCATCTGATCCTAGGACCCCCAAGGCTGATGACCTGCCAGAGATCTTTGGCCACTGAAGATGCTTGTCCTAGATTTTCAGATGCAGGTCCCTGACTAAATGGCAGAGGCAGCCATCTTCTTCCGTGCCCCATGCTGATCTGAGGTATTGTGGGTAACAAAAATGACCCACAGTAATTGGGTCATTAAGGGCCTGCTTAAACCTGAATCTAGCCTTCCAGCAACTTTCTTTTTCTTTATGGTTGGCATGAATCAGTCAGGTATTCTTGTTTGTCTTCCTTCCAGACTTTTACTTGATTCACAGGTTAAACAAAAAAAAACAACCTAAAAAAACCCCATCCTTTCTTACAGCTTCTTTGGATCCTTTGTTAAGTAAACAGAATTTTGTTTGGTATTTTTTAAATGCTTGGATTTTCTCACCATTACCAAGTAGTTTTGTCTCCGGGACATTTCTGATCCCCACATCAGCCACATGAACCATAGTGTGTCTCTAGATACTTGGCATGGTGTCTTCAGTGTATGCTTCCTGATGTTGTGAAGGCCAAATCTGTGGATTGGGACCCTTGTCCAACTTGGCATTTAGAAAGGAAGGTAGAGCTAGCTCCATTTATTTTTCTTAAAACCACATGTGGGGAGACACCATAAGAAGAAAAGTCTGAATATTCTCAAGCCTGGTTGGGATTATGATCAAACAGGGGAGCTATCATCTCCAAAATCCTTTGTAGATCAACATGGATTCTTACTAAGTTGTATTTATTCCAACCATATACCTTGAATAATGAAAAAAAAGGTTGACTTGTTGGATTTGTTGGATTTCAGCAACTTTCCCCTCTAGATATGAGACCCATTGCATTAATGGGTAACCAACTTTAAGTGTTCTTCAAGCCTATTACATATTTTCTTTTCAAGCTACCCCTTGAAATCTTGCAATTAGTTGGCCTTAAAGGACCTTGTAAAGTGCACCTGCATGAATCTAAAGTTGCAACACCGCACACATTAATTTGGGAATGAGTGGCACTGCCTTTAGTGTATGAAAACAGAGGACTGGGACTGATGACAAATTGCAAGACTTTAACTAGTGAGATTAATTAATCTGTAGTAACTGAATCCATTATGTTCTACACTTGCAATAACATAGTCGGACAAACACTTTGTTTGATCCTTGTGTCATCCAGTGGACAGGTGAAATTTTCTACATTTTAATCTCCTTATGCATATGGTTCGGTTAGATAATGTAATCTTGAATATGCCTCCCCAAACACTAGATTAATTCCTCAATACAAACTAGAAACATTTTTTTTTTAGTTTTCTTCTACTTAAAAATATATAGGAACATACCATGCAATCTTTGTTGTGGAGTAATTTGATGATACCATAGCCTCATCGAATCCACTGATTAAATGTCCAGTGCAAGGTTGTGAAAATAGCCTTGCACTGGACATTAGGTTAAGTGTGAACAAAAGTTTGCTAAAAGATACCAACTGTTTATCAAGATGTTTGGAGAATTAGTCTAAAGAGTTCTCAGTTTTATTTGCAATCATGAACTGTTGTGCATCATAAATGAATTAATTATAGTTTTTATGAATACACTCTGGAAATGGCTCAGAGATAATTTGCATAAGTTAACAGTTGATTATTGTTATCTTAAATCTTATCACATATGCACTTTTAGTTCTCTCAATCAATCAGAATAGAACTGGAAGGGATCTTGGAGCTTTTCTAGCCCAGCCACCTGCTCAAGCAGAAGACCCTACCATTTCAGACTGGGGCTGTCTAGTCTTTTCTTAAAAACCTCCAGTGATGAAGCACCCACAACTTCTGATGGCAAGCTGTTCCACTGGTTAATTGTTCTCATTAGTAGGAAGTTTCTCCTTAATTCCAGGTTGCTTCTCTCCTTGATTAGCTTCCATCCATTGTTTCTTGTCTTGTCCTCTGGTGCTTTGAAAAATAAGTTGATCCCCTCCTCTTTGTGGCATTTGCAATGATGTTGAGTTCAGTCTTGGGTCTGAGACCTCAAGGATTTGGTCATAGCTTGTAGTTCACATTAAAGATTTTGGACCACTTTGAAGAGCACTGGAATCGCTGCAGAAGCATCTACAAATGAAAAGGTCTCAGTGGAAGGAAGAAAGCTCAGAGCTGTTTTAAAGAGCTAGCTTGCTTAGCTTTATTCAATGAAATTCTTTTCAATCTGGTTTGTAGTCCACAAACTCATTAAGTATGAGACATCTATTCAGATGAGGAAAAGGTTTGCTTTGGTGGGGGGTAAAAAAAGCAAAGCAGGTTGTGGATTGGGAGCTTAATGATGAAGAAAGATTTCCTGATAATTCCTTGTTTGCTATGGCTTTGTAATGAGCAAAGCCTGAGCATATGGCAATGGCTTTAAACAAATTAAATGAAATTGGTCGTTTTTCAGTTTGGCTAGGCTGTTTTTTTTTTAATGGAGAATTATTATTCATGGGGGTTTCTCTTTTCTTGTTAATGGGGTTGAATAAACCAGCTGGATTTGAGTAGAATACTCTCTAGGGCCAAGTTCTATTTAAAATGTATAATTATAGGTACGAGTTTCTGTGTATCTGTTTTTAGCCTAGATCATGTGTTGTCTGTGAAACCACCGCATGTTACAGATTGGATGTCTCTGAATCCACACCAAATCTTTATAAAAGTTCAGAACAGAGAGAACTTTAAACCATTCCCCCTTCCCGAAGCACCCAGCTTGGCCTAAACAAAAAGAAAGTCATAAAGAGGGACACACCCTTCCTTTGCATATGAAATGGCACAAATGATAGCCAGATTCTTCTTTCTTATTGCGACATGAGGTGCAGTGGCCTAGGGCTTGGTTTCTGATTCTCCAAATGTCCACCCAGCTAAGAAAAGTGACTAACACATGATAGTTTTGGAAAATGTTTCATGGACAATCAATGAATCCTAGCTATGGGGGGGAGGGGCTTAAAGGACAGAAAAGTGTTAGGTGCTTAAAGCCTTTTAAATCAACCTGGATGGAAATTCTAGGACAGGGGTTCTCAACCTTGGCAACTTTAAGACTTGTGGACTTCAACTCCCAGAATTCCTCAGCCAGCAAGCTGGCTGAGGAATTCTGGGAATTGAAGTCCACAAGTCTTAAAGTTGCCAAGGTTGAGAACCCCTGTTCTAGGAGGTGAAGGGCAACATATCTGATCAATAGTGGGGCCAGGGAAAGTTGCTTTAAGAATGTATGTTTGAGCAATAAAGCCAAACCAAGCACATTATGATTTAACATGATGTGTGAACTTAGCCTGCCTGAAAGTTTAAGCAATTTTCCCAAAGTTGTATTCTCCCCCCCCCAAAAAAAACAGAAAAACTTTAGAAACTTTTCCATTGAAACACTGAATAGAGAGACTGTAATTATCCTTATTTAGCACAATGTATGTACTGAAGTTTCTTTGATACTATATAAATCAATGCATAGTTCATAGTACATTATATTGCATCTCTGTGCAGGATATATTTCTACAAGTTGGAGTCCTGTTCTTACATGACACATGTATACAATCAACCAATATTTCTCAACCTTGATAACCTTTAGATGTGTGGACTTTAGCTGTCAGAATTTTCCAGCCAGCATGGGAGTTGAATTCCATATATCCTCAAGCTAACAAGATTGAGAAACATTGCAATCAACTGGTAAATTTCTTTTTGTTGTTCTGAACTTTTTGTTGTCCAGTTTAGCTTATGTGAATTTGGACGGGGAAGAAAATCCTTGTACCTCAGTCTCTTGGTGTGAATTAATTGTGTGAATTAATCTAGTACTGAGTTAATGCATTGTTAGTATCACACACTCCTCTGAATCAAAAAATAACCTAACATGAGCTTCACACAGCAGGTGAAATGACACACACACACACACACACACACACACACACACACACACACACATCTTTTTAGTAAAACCTAAAATTATTCAAGTTTACAGTGTTATGTTAATATAAGTCCTGGGCATTTAACTGAATTAAATGTATGGTGTGAACCCAGATCTAGAAGAAGTAGTGCATGAGATGAAAGATATTGCTTGCAGCGTTTCTCAATCTTGGCAGTTTGAAGATGTGTGGACTTCAACTCCCAGAATTCCCCAGCCAGTTTTGCCAAGCTTGAGAAACACTTGCATTTCTGGGGAATCATCTAAACCTCCCCTTCTCAATGCATGGAAAACATTTGGTTATGCCACTAATATGGATTGGGCTACACTGTAGCAGGAAATATGCTATTCTGGAAATAATGATTCTATCATAGTGGTATTTTCTCTCTGTTAGTGTGGCTTTTCATTAGTAAGCTGATAGGAAAGATTCAGTAGTTTTCACATAGGCAGGTGGAAAAAAGTGAGTTTTCTCTGCATGAGTTTGTTCCCCTGTGAAGAATGCATGCCAGGACAAGTTTAAGAAAGGACATAGATCTCTAATAGCTTTCTTCATCCTTGTGTACACTTTCATCCCATTATAGCTTCAGGTCTTTCATCTCTGTAGGACAAAGGCCATTTTGTTTATAGACTTTTTAATGAATTAGACTCATTGCTCACTAGGCTATATTATATAGTCAAGCCCAGCACCTGTTTTGGAGCATACAGATTTCTATTGACAGTGAAAATTAGAAGATCTATTGTCAGAGAGATTCCCCCCCCTCCCCTCTTTTAATTGAAAGCTTTCTATAGCAATCTTTCAAAATTGCAGCCTCTGTCTTAAACTGTGCCATGGTTGAGAAAAAAGATACTCTTGTGGGCATTGTGTTTCCCAGGTAGCGTCTTGTTACATACGTTGAACTATGGCAGCAAGGAAGTGTCATAACACAAAACCGAAAAGGTATTGCAGTGAGGAAGTGTTATAGCACTAAAAAGGTTGCATGTAGTTAATAGGTTGAACTAAA